GTATAGGCACATTGGAGGTAAACATAATGCTTCTGGCTACCTCCAATATGTGTCTATTCTTTCTTTTAGCAACCCCATTTTGCTGTGGTGTATGAGGACAAGTATTCTGATGGATAATCCCATGGTCAAGCAAATAGGAGGCTAATGGGTTTGCAAAATATTCTTTCACATTATCAAATCTAAAAATTTTGATTTTGAAAATTGGGTTAAAATCATCTGATGAAAGATCCGGGTTAATGCTGGAACCTCATCTCGAGAACGCATGAGATAAATCCACGAAAAACGAGTATAGTCATCAACAAACAGTAGGAAATATCTGTACCCCCCCCATGGCAATGGCATGGTAAGGTCCCCAAACATCAGTATGCACAATTTCAAAAGGAATATTACTTCTATTATTACTTAATGAATAGGTTGTCCTATAGTGTTTTGCAAGTTCACAACTCTCACATTTCAAACTAGACATCTGGATAGATTCGAATAAACTAGGAAACAAACTCTTCAAAGCCTGAAAAGATAAATGACCCATCCTGATCAACAGACTAAGAAATACAAGGCCTCTTAGTTTCGCTATCTTCCCAATGAGGACTCCCTCTAAGCAGATAGACTCCATTTGCCTCACGGCCAGTCCTAATCACCTTCCTTGTSTCCAGATCCTGAACAACACATCGATTCGGAAAAAAAGGTTACTGAACAATTCTGGTTTTTTGTAATGTTACTAATTGAAAGCAAGTTAGTACTAAGCTTAGGAACATGCAAAACCGAAGATAAGGAAATAGCATTAGACAACTTGATGTCTCCCTTGCCAGAAATAGGAACGAGGGAGCCATCAACAATGGACACTTTGTCTCTACTTGAAGATAAGTGATAGGTAGTAAATAGTGACGGCAAGCTAGTCATATGGTTAGATGCTCTAGAATCTATTATCCATGAATGTTCTGTATTACCTGTAGCTGAGGAATGGTGAGCTGAGGCCCGACTACCTGATTGAGCAGCTAAGGTAGGGGGTGCTGATGGTGTCTGAGGAGGTGGAGCTGAATTACCAACTTCATTTTCCAGCTGATTAGAGCAGCTCAGACAGCAGCTAGAGTGTCTAGAGGATTGCCTTTTGTGCTAGACGAGGTTGTACTATCAGTGTTAACAGCCATATTTGCATTCCCCTTTTTGTTTCTAAGTTTTGTTGGAACTAGATGTGGATGCAACTTCCAACAGGTCTCTTTAGTATGTTTAGGTTTCTTGCAATGCTCACATACTAGGTCCTTCTTAGCTTCCTTCTTCATGTCTCTTTCCTTATCACCCTCAGATTTGGGCTTAACTACTGCCAGAGCTGGTTCAAAAGGCTGTTGCTGTAGCTTAACTTTTCTCCTAGTCTTTTCGCTGTGCACTAAGGAATAGGCCTGGGACAGAGTTACTCTGTCTCTTGTCAACAATTGCTGATTCACAATATCATATTCCGAATTTAGACCAGCCAGGAACTCAAACACTCTATTAGTTTCAATCTGCTTTCTGTAAATCTGTGCATCCTTCGGACTTTCCCATTCAATTGATCCAAGGTGGTCAATTTCATGCCACAGGGATTTCAAGATTGGAAAATAAACAGAAACTTGTTTCTCACCTTGCTTGAGATTTTTAACCTCACATTTCAGCTCATAAGCYYTWGCAACATTAAGGGGCTGAGAGTAGGTTTCTTTCACAACATCCCATATTTCTTTAGCTGTTTTTGCCCATAAGTAATTTCGGGTGATGTGTGGCTGCATGGAAT